TATTTAAATAATTGAGACTTCTTAGCTTGTAATTTTTTTCTAGACTATTGTTTCACTTTAAGAAATATCATTGCCAGGCCCAAAGAAACATAGGTCCCATGGTTTCCCTTATTTGCAATATCTGAGTCAAGCTGAAAAGGTCAGATAAGGTGATGTTAGGGAAATGAACCCTAAGATATGTATTCAGAAGTTTTTTTTCTCTCATGTGATTGTTTCTAACATAAGATAAGATAATAAGATTATTTCTTTGTTGCTTTGTATGTCCCTCCCCCACAGTATAACCCTTGCTTTCACTGTATTTGATGTCGGTATAATTTGTGGAGGGGAAGGGGAAAAACAAATCGTTTAAATAGGGATACAGGTGGATCCACTGCAACATTGCAACAATGAGATGTAGAAGTCCTTAAACGAACTTTACAACTTTGGTGGGGGGGGGCGGAGGATTGGATGGGGGTGCAGGGGGAGGATGGGGGGGAAACAAAGGAGGAGGCTACAATGCTTGATAAGAAATGTACTCATTATCTTGCCCATATAATTGTAACCCCTCTGTACAGTATTTTCACAATAAAAAATAAAAAGAAATATCATCTACTTATACAGGATGCATAGGTAAGAGGATCACAATTTGGGGTTAACCCAGCCCCCCCCCAAAAAAGTCAAAGGTCAACCCTGGACAAAAATACAAAATTCTTTTTGAAAAATAAAGTAAAATGGACTGGGGGAGGGGTTCAAATGGTAGAAGGGTTGCCTAGCAAGCATGGGGGTGGGGGAGGGAAAAATGTCATCTCACCTAACTTGAGGATTATCAAGGGGTACAATAGTGTTTACTGTTCGCTACTATGATTGCATAAAGGATATTATTTGAACTAAATCTCAAAGCACCTGACCCAGGTTAACTCCCTAGTCCATGGCTCTAGGGGAAACAAAGAAACTCAGAGGGAGGGGGAGTTAGCACAGAGCTGACCCAGTGCAGGAAGGTTACATGGTGAACAACTCATGCTAATATCTCCAAGGTGCAATTAGGACATTAGAATTCAAGTGGCTTTTTCAGAGCTAGACAGATGTTATGTAATAAATTTGGATATCTTACAACAAACCTTAGGACCTTAGCTCTCAGTCTTTGATACACATCACTAAATGTGCCAGTTTAACTTATGAGAAGTGAACTGATAAAATTTCTTGCCTCAAGAGTCACCCAGCCATATCTCTTCTCCCTAATTTCCAATGTCCTCATGATGGAGCAACTAGAGGGAATTTTTAAAACAGAATCCAAACTTGTCCCCTGCCTGCATTTTGCTTTCAGCTTCTGCCATGGTACACAGGCTTCTAAATTAGCCCAGTGAAGACCTTGAGGCCCTCTGGCAAATAAACTATCTCCCCTAATGCTAACCATTTCTAACTCTTACCCTCTACCTGTCTGGCTCACAAACAGTACCCTTCTCTCTCTCCTTTGTCTTCTAAGTGCTGGGTATACAGTGCCACATGGAAGTAGAGGGGAAGGTGACAAAAAAAGAAAATAAAGAAATACTGAAAGATATATATTATGGAATAAGACAGGGAAAGGAGAATGTGAGTGCCAGGTGCAACTGTAAACAGGATGGACTTGAAGGAGGTAAGAAAGTTGAGGATGCTGCTATCTTGCAAAAATACCAATGACTGAAAAGCTTTCCAAGCAGAAAAGCTTTCCAAGCAAGTGCAAAATGCCATGAAGCAGGAGTCTGGAAGCTTTCAGGATGAACCTGTGGTCCCAGCCTCTAGCCAGTAGCCAGCAGCCATACCTGACTAAATTTAAGCTGAACTTCAGAGCAATTAAAAACTCCATTTCTTTGGGGCTGGGAATGTGGCTTAGCAGTAGAGTGCTTGCCTAGCATTCATGAAGGCCTGAGTTCAATTCCTCAGTACCACATACACAGAAAAGGCCAGAAATGACACTGTGGCTTAAGTGGTAGAGTGCTAGCCTTGAGCAAAAGAAGTTCAGGGACAGTGCCCAGGCCCTGAGTTCAAGCCCCAAGAGTGGCAAAACAACAACAACAAAAAAATTCCATGTCTTGGTGTTCACAGGCCACATTTTAATTGTTCAATGGCAACTATTTGGGGCAGTGAAATGTGGAACCTGTCCTTCAGCAGGCAAAGTTCCAACAGCACTGCAAGCTAGCCAGTTTTACTGCAGTGGGTTGAGCAAAGAGGAAACAAATAAATGTGATGAGTGAGGTTTACTTTGAAGGCCATTGTAGGAACTTTGGTTTTATTTTGTGTGAAATAGGAAATCTAGAGGGTGCTGGTAAAGGAGTAACTTGACATTCAAAAGAATGGGCAACTGTACTGGCTCACACTTGTAACAACAACTGTTTGGGAGGTAGAGGTAGCAAATTGGGACAAAAGCAAAAGATTCTAACTAAAGTTTGGAGGGGGGAGTGACCGGAGGCAGAGCTCAGGTGATAGAGCATCTAAGTGCAGACCCTAGCACTGAAAGAGGAAAAGAGAATAGGAAATGGACCAGCAGCATTTTAGATCATTTCTGTAATAATACAGGTAATCTAATAATAAAGATGATCTAAGGTGAAGGGTGTTAGCAATGGAAGTGTGGGAAAGTATTCAGATATTTTATGAAGTCTGAGGTTTGAACCAACAGATTACATGGTGAAAAGCATGTGGAGTATGCTATGATGAAGACAAGGAGGTGACTGGGGACCAGGACATGCTGGAGGCTGAATTCAGTATTAGACTGATTGAACTTGAGACGACAAGAGCACTCACTAGTAAAACTGTCTAATGGGCTCCTCAGAAGTGAGACTCTACAACAATAGACCCTGAAATTCACAATGAGATTCATCAGTACATGCATAGGAGATGCATCAACAGGGGTCAGTACATGCACAGGAGATGCATCAAGAACATCATTCTTCTGAGTTGTCAGACAGCTCAAGAGAAATGAGACAGCCTAAGAAAGGACCCCAAGGCATGGAGAAGGCATGTGCCTTCATTCAAGAGCCATGAAGGGCACAGGTCGAAATGGCACTAATGGAGAAATAGGAAGTTACCAAGAAAAAAAAATGTAACCAACTATGGCATGTCTCAATGTAATATTTTTAAGTGTAGTAAATACATGCTATTAGGATTAGTAAAGAGGGTGCTCTTAAAAGTGCTCAGCATGAGGCACACACAAATCTCAGGAGACTGAGATTTGAGGATTGCAGTCTGAAGCCAGCCTGGGCAAGAAAGTCAAAAAAAAGGCTGGAAATGGAGCTGTGACTCAAGTGGTTGAGCACTAACCATGAGCAAAAGAAGCTCAGGGGCAGTGCTCAAGCCCCAGAGTCAAGCCCCAGAAACCCCAACCCCGCACACACACATACACACACATACACATACACACACACAAAGTAGTAGGGACAGTCCAAGTCTTTTGTAATAAAAAGGTAATTTTTAATCTGCCTGAAAAATGTTTTCTTCTTAGGGATCAAACCTTAGACCTTACATGTGCTATGCAATTTTCTTAGCCCCATGTTTGTTTGTTTGTTTTTTAAGGTATTGGGTTTGAACTCAGGGCTTTGAATTTACTAGGCAAGTAATCATCTGAACAATGTCTCCAGTCCTTTTTGCTATGGTTATTTTTAATACCAAGTATCTCTTTCTGCATGGCTGGCCTGGATAGCAATCCTCCTACTTAAAATTTCCACCATATATAGGATTCAGGCACAAACCACCATACCCAGCATGTTGTTGAAGTCTCTTCAACCAACTTTCTTCTTTCTTTTCTTCCTTCCTTTCTTCCTTTTCTGATGGTCCCAGGGTTTGAACTGCAGGACTTGTAGTCTTACACCATTGAGCCACACCTCTGGTTCAACATTTTTACTGGTTTATCAGATAGAGATGGAGCCTCACAGACTTTTCTGTACAGGCTGGATTCAAATTTCTCTCCTTCCAATCTCAGATTCCCAAATAACTAGCATTGCAGATGCGAGTCACAAATGAAGAAGAAATGACTGATACTGGTTTGTTTGGGAGTTTTTTCAGCAAGGGGGAGGGGGAGAGGAATCACTAAACACTAAGAATGCCAGGCTAAGGGGAAAACTCAAGCTGTTCTTCAAAGTCTTTCACTTCAGAAGCCTTGTCTCAAGAGTGAATGGGGCAGGAAGTCATGACAATGAGGATCTCCAATACAAGCCAATCTAGATTCAAAAAACTGAAATATGGAAAGTAGTGTTATGTATTTACTCCAGTCACTCCCATTGGACAGATCAAGTGATGAGATCCAAAGAGGTTATTCTGCTAGTCAACAGTCAGACTCAGAAGCTGTGTCTGAGGTAGAAGAAGGAGGTAGACAACTCTACTGGGTAAAGACGGGAACCTCCACTTTAAGATGCAGACAGAAGGCAAGGCAAATCCTACCCTCTGGGTCCTTTATGTATGGGGGGGGAGAGGGGGGAGGCTACTGCAGGGAGCAGCTGGGTAAAGACTGAGATGCGGGTAATGCTTATGCGTTTGGTTTACAGACTATTGGCTTCTCTCAAAAGCCTTGGCAATGGGCCTCCTGAACTCGGCTTTGGAGTCCCTTTATCACCATGCCCACCCATAACCAAAGGAAACGCCCAGCGTTATCTGCAAGAGTGCACGTCAGCAACTTCTGAGATCAGACCTAGATATGGTTTGTATGGTTTATAGAAATCCATTCTGATGTGACCCCTGGGTATTTTCAAAGTGGAAGACTTGCAGAAAGACAGGTGAGGGTAGTAATACATAAACATGTAGGTCCGCAGGCAGAAGGTATGGACTGGGCTGCGGGGGGAGGGGGGAAGAGTGGCACAGGAGCAGGGCTGACTCTCCCGTTGCTATGGCCACCGGCGTCCGTGGTCACGGCGGCGCAGCGGACTGAGCCGCCGCCCCAGCACCCCGAGGGCACGCGCCCCGGCTTCCCCCCCTCGGGGATCCCGAGCGTCGCCCGCCGGGGCTGCGCGGGGGCCGTGGGCAGGGCGAGCCCGCGGCCTCCCTCCCACACTCACGTTGTAGTCCTTCGCCCACGAGTTGAGCTTTTCCTGCAGCGCTAGTAAGTTCTCCTTGGAGACCAGCTTCTTCAGGTTGTCCGCCATCGCTCGCTGGCCCGCACCCCCCAGCGCGGGGAGCGGGGCGGGCAGGTGGAGGGGAGCGGACGCGGCGGGGCGCGCGGGGGGTCTCCGCAGGACGCGGGGTCGGGTGGCGGGAAGGGTGGTCTTCGGGGGGCTCAGAGCGCGGCTGTTGTTTCCATCCTCCCCCTCGGGTGGCACCGGGCAGGGTTCGGGAAGCCGGGGGGAGGCGCCCTGCGCCGCAGACCTCCGCGCCTCATCCGCTGCCCGGAGCGCTCTCTGGGCA